TTTGGCTGTCTAATATTTTTATGTAAAATGCAATATTTTTAAGGCCCACGACCCAAGCTATTAGGTTATTCGTGGCCTAAAAAGTAGGGAAAATAGTCAAAAAATTAAAAATTTAAGCAGTGCATGACCTTAAAATGGACTTAAATCTATTTTTAATTTTTGGGTCATGTATGACCTAAAATTATGTTCATTATTTTTCTGGGTGTATAAAGTACACATGTTCATGATTAAGATCACTAGCCAAGTCGATCTAGCCATTTCCGTCCGTCCACCCGTTCATTTCTACGCAAACTGTGCTCTCAGTTTAAAAGCTATCGGTGTAAAACTTTTCCAAGAGTCGGACAACTATATCCCAAAGCTCCCATAGGAATGATATGATATTTTCTTCATTCTTATAAACCATTTCAAAATTTTAAATAAAATTGCCGTTTAATCAGACGACTGTACCATATAGCTGCCAAAGGACAATCAAAAATGAATTAGAAAATAATTATAGCATTGTGGTTTTTGAAAAAATTATGTTCTGTGATGATGTCTAGGTAAACCATTATTTTAAAATTTCCTAACTTTATATTTTTATGTAAAAATCGGAGGAAGATTACATCATAAAACAAGGGAGAACGCTATGTCGAGTACCACGACTATCAGATACCCGTTACTCAGCTAATGGGACCAAAGGGAAATGGAGATATGCAAGCAGCAAAGCGAGATTGAAATGCGCCACCTACCGGCGGAAGACAGATTTAAGCTTTATGGACGTTAGAGTGGGCGTAGCAAACTTTTTTTGGATCAATCGATAGGTATTGACGAGACCAATACATTTCAGCTAAAATTTTCTATCTAGCATGAAAATTGTAGGCGCCACAGGTATTGACGAGAACAATACATTTCAGTTAAAATGTTTATTCTAGCATCAAAACTGTAGGAGCCACAGTTTTGGGCGGTTTGTGGGCGTTAGAGTGGGCGTGGCACTCTGCTGAAACTGCATGCCTAATCCCAGTATTGTAGCTTGTATAGTTTCCGAGATCTCAACGTTCATACGGACAGAAGGACAGACGGACAGACGGACGGACGGACAGACGGACATGGCTAGTCAAGAATATATACACTTTATGGGGTCAAAAACGCTTCCTTCTGCCTGTTATAGTATACCCTTTTACTCTGCGAGTAATGGGTATAAACACGTATGATTTAATTGCATGACAAGGTGCAAGGGTATAGCTTCCTTTCTTGATTACAGAGGAACTAGTACATTTTTGTAATAATTACCTTGTTTTTTATTTTCAGGTAAGCGTTCATAGAACACCCCCTGAACGTCGCATAAATACCGTGCGTAAGTTTCTGTCACCCCACCCCCTATCTATATGCCGTGCATTATTAAACAAAAATAAAAACTTATAAACTTTTTCAAAGCATACATAAACAACTTAATATTTTATAGATCAAAACATTGTTTTTATGGCACTACCTATTTAGTTTACTGTTCACCGCTTTTGTATCTGTTTTGAATGGAGACCAGGTCTTTTAGATTGGCAAGAGCATGATAACATGATACAAATTTAATAATAATTGGCCTTTGACCCGTTCAAGATTGAAACTCAAAATAGGTTTTTCATAAAAAAAAATTTTTAAAAAGTTTTACTTAAGCTTAACCTTGCACAACACATAAATTTCACACAAAAACATGTCGGAGTTTAAAATTTAGCATAACCTAATTTCCTTATTTAATATTAGTTTAAGTGAAATAATTGTCACCTTTATAAACCCGTCAACTAACAGAATAGGCAAAAATATGATCAGCAGTTACAAGTAAAAGGCTGTTTGCAAACTGCCATTCCGGTAAAGTGGGACCAAATTTCCACGAAGCAATTCCAATTATGCTTATTAGTTGGGTGCTTCTGAGTATGAGCCGAATAAAAACGAATGCTTCATTATCTTAAGGTACCGCGGTTTAGCCAAGGATTTAAAAATCCAACGTTTGCTGATGCCTTGAACTATATGGTCAATTTCATTGGACATATCTAATTGATTTTGCTGAAACACGGCATTACACAAAAATCAAGAAAGAACGCTATTGTCGAGTGCCTCGACTATCAGATGCCCGTTACTCAGCTAAAGGGACCAAAGGGAGATGGAGAAATGCAAGCAGCAAAGCGAGATTGTAATGGCTAATCCCAGTATTGCAGCTTTTAAAGTTTTCGAGATCACATGAGGTCGGAAACGCTTCCTTCTATCTGTTACATACTTTTCGACGAATCTAGTATCCCCTTTTACTCTACAAGTAACGGGTATAACAAGCAACAATGTTTCGTCTGTTGACCAATTAGATAAAAGTTTCAAGCCATTTCTTTTGCGGTGCACCAAGCGGACGGCACCTTCTAGCCCAGGCCTTTTTCACTTATTAACTTATCAAACAAAGACATCGCTTCGGCAAGCTTATTAAAAATCGTAAAGCTTTTTGCCTACACAGGTATACTGTATAGCAGCGTGACGAAAGGGAAAGATTTAAAAAGTGTATTTACTTAGTAGAAAGTATAACACATTTTCATCACAAAAGTTATTATCAGAACTTTTGTGTGTTAAAGGTGTTGTTTTTTTTTCCTCGCTAAGAGGTGTTTTTGTTTCAATTAATTTCAGACAAATGTATACAAATATTAAAGCTGCAGGTGCAATCATCACTTCGTTTAACCTCGCTAAGAGGCAATTTTGTTTTATTGCATTCGCTGTGTGTAAAAGTAGATGGAATCGTTTTCGACCCTATATCCGTCTGTCCCTGCGTCTGTCTGACAATCTTTGCGATATCAGAAACTACAAAAGCTAGAAAGTTGCGATTTCGCGTGCAGATTTCTGGGGTTCACACGCAGCGTTAGTTTGTTTCAGCCGAGTTCTACTGCCATCCTAACGTCTAGAAACCGCAACACCCTACAGGGACGGTCAAACAGGGACGGTTTACACAAAACAAAAGTTAAATATACTCATAATTGCATCTTACTTCATGTACATTTTGGCATCAATGGAAAGGTCATTTAAATTCCGTTTGAATGGTACAAGACTTTTCTTAACCCATGAAAAATATGGCTCGAATGCAAATTTCTAAACATTTTCAAAAAATCGTAAAATATATAAAAAAGTGATTTTTTTTTAAATTGTTTTGGAGTACCTTTTAAACCATCACAGCAGATTTTAATTTCTTTGCGTATAATGTACACTGTATATCCATACGTAAAGTAGTCGCCTTCGCACACTCTCCTGGTGCGCTTCGTCACTACGTGGACTGCCGTCCACAGTGACTTAGTCATTCAAAGCTTGTTTGAATAATATTGCGATTGGTATGATTATTAGAATGTTAATTCAAATTGATTTTATTGGATAGGAATCAAGTTAAATTTACAATAAAACAAAATTTTCCAAAATTGCCGCGCTGACACACTTTGGCATTATGGGCGTCAGGATGGGCGTGGCACTCCACTGAAGTAGGCTTTCGCTGCTTAAGAGCCCCAAGAATCTGTATGCTTACGCGTAACTGTACCTCAAAGCTAATATCACAGATTTTTCTGAAATTCTCTGAAAGAACCTTTTCTGAAAACGCTTTTTAATGAGAAACTATTAAAAGTTTTTTAAGAATTTACTGTCCTTTGTATGCATTGTTTTCGGCTTCAACTTATTATTATAGATTTGTTGATTTCGATCGGATAAATTATAAACAAATCTGTGTTTTTCTTTTTCGGCCTCAAGTTCAGATGCGTGTGTAATGCCGTGCTGTATTGAGAGTGTTTAAATAAAAACATTAACGTAACTCCAATTATTTGGGCAGCATAATTAAAAATGTCGACAAACATTAGATTTTCGATTTCTTTCTATGGGACTTTTACTCAGGAGGACCCAAATATAAGCAAAAAGCAATAATGCTTATAGAATTTTGTGCACTGCGTACCCATATAATTTGTTGAATGTTGATTGTAATCGCCTAATTTCGATGTTTGCATATTTAAATATTAGTCCCCCAAGATTGAAATTTTGCAGCAATTGTACCTAAAATCTTCTTTTATAAATTTTAAATGTCATTATAAGTCCTTGCTACCTAACCACACCAAGCTAGACATTTTCATGTCCCTTAGATATAAAAAAAATATCGTAATTTATTTAACCTAAGTGCAGATCATATGACAAAAACACCCCGAAATAATGAACCTCCCCACCACACACAAAAACAAAAGAAGAATAAAATATATTTTTTGTTTATACCTACAATGCCTTCACAGCCGAACTTTACCTCATTGTAAAACACACGAACACTAGAGCTTGACAAGTACACCATGCCAAACACATTGAACGACTCCCAAGTGCACAGCAATCTAGAGAATAGCTTCGCTTTTCCACCCCGCCCCACGTCCCTTCATTCGCCCCTTCCCGGCCACCCAACCGCTTCCTCAACAGTAAAAACTCCACGGCAATAACAAGTTCTCCTCGAACAACAAAAGCCAACAATGAACACAGCTGCCATCGCACCGATAAAAAACATACGGAAAACACAATTCAATTTCTTCTATTACAATTTCTTCCTGACTACCAGCCCTCGACTTTCAGTTCTCTCTTTATTTAGTACTCGCATATTTACATGAATGCCACGCCCAAGCCAATCCCGATCCTCAGAGCACTCATGCCCCCAACTGCCTCAGTAATGGAAATCTAAATTGGAAACAGCTAAAAGAACTAAATGGTCGGGATCCCCCTATCTGGCCATCCGAGCAGCTTCTGTCAAATTGTAAACCAAAATGCTATAGCGACAACTGTTCCCAATCCGAACCATCTTGTCTTCCACCAAGCTCCTTACCGGCTTCTTGATTTCATTTAACTTGTTTCATCATTATATATACTACTACTTATCCATACACAACTTGCAACTTCGAATTATAATTCATAAAGTATCCCAGTGAATCGAAACAGATAGTGAAATATTACTAATACTTTTCCTTTACTTCCCTGAACACGCTCGACAGATGCTGCAGGCGGTAATTTCTCTACTTACCATATTGTTTTATTTTACTATGTCCATAAATATATCTTGTATGCCTTAGTCTTGATGCAATTCACAGCGTCTACCATTTGTATTGGACATGCATTTCCACTAGAATCAGTTATTCAAATTAATGGCATCATAAAATCAAAACCAATATCCAAATTCCAAAATAAAATCAACACAATCAATGGCCATCCGTTAAACTGGGATGATGCCAAAAATTCAGCTCAGTAAATTAGCAACTCCTATTATTCCAGTATTTCATAGTTTGCCTCGCTACCACGCTGCCTCCAAATGCTATACGCAAACACACGGCTTGGAGAGAGATCTTCATAGAGTATATAACAACATTTTCATTTAAAGCGCTTTTTGTTTCTTTTATTTCGTAAACTCAGGGAAACTTTGGGCGGCTATGTGCATCTTGGAAAACTTTATATCTTTGAAATCAGTGCTCAGAAGATTACATTTTCAATCGTATTTAAGCGCTAGTGGGTCACGGGTCATATCATTTAATGTGACTGTAAATTGAAATTTGGTAATATTCACCCAACAATTTCCGCACAACTTGAATTCGTTTGGTTAAAACACGCTATTTACATCATCAACTCAAGATCTATAGTCTAGAATTGAGCATACTTCGCATTGCATCGGGTTTGGTTCTCTAATTTAAATTAGTTCTAGACATTTAACTTTCTTTTGATTTATACAAAATATACTCTTTACGCCGTTACACCCAAACTCTTGCTTTTTGCGAAAATTGTTTTGTTTAAACGTTTTTATCTAATTCTTCTACTACTACTCTACTATCGAACTACTTCTACTACTGCTATGAACTACTTAAACTAATATGGAACCATACTAACTACAAAACTACTTACATCTTCTACTATTCTACTATAACTACTCTAATTACAACTCAACTACAACTTATATACTACGAATTTACAATGAGGTAAAGTATAAGTATAATGTATTTACTAAAACTATCGAAAAAAGTTGTACTTAAAAGATAACATACACGACAAAAAAATAAACCAACAGCACACCCACAACAAAATATACTTCCTATTATTTATGTACGATTGTTACCTTTTGATATAGCCCAGTTACGTCTACAAACAACATAACATGTAACCCAATCCCCGAACTATTTTTCTAGCGTAAGCCGACATTTTGACACAACCTAATACTACAGTTTAAAACACTTTTTCAGACCATTGTAAGTCAGTCCATTTTGGCAATTTTTAATTGTCTGTCGCCCATGTGCAACGAAATGCTCACCCTTCTCTCTTAAATTCTTGAGACCTTGCCTGAAAGTATTCAACTATATACTACATTTGTGCTATGAATTACATGGGTCCTTGAAAACATGAATCAAAAATAACAGCACAGCCGAATTTGTGGAATAATACAGAATATTTTAAATTTATAAAGAGCTCTATTGCGTTAACTCGGTTGTTCCTCAACTTATCACGCATGGAGGCTGTATTCATAGTAAATTTTCGTGTGTTATCGAATACATGAAACGGTGCTTAGGCTCACACGATTTTGCTCATTTTATGAAATTAATATCAAGCAAAGGGAAAAAGTAGTCGTAGCAAGGATGCGTTGATTCACGCGTAGCTTGGGTGGATGAAAAGTACCGGCCTGGGGTGCGGATGGGGCTAGAAATTATGTATATTAAAAATTCCTTAAATATCCCTGATCTGAGTACAGACCAAAATATTTGCATGCGGCTGTCCGGACCTCAGCCGACACGATGCGCAGCTGTGCATTTTTGACAAATTTTGCCGTTTGCTGGCATGACGTCGCATTCCTAACGTGCCTGGCAAGGGTCCCTGAGTGGATGTGGAAGAGGAAATGTTTCCACGACTGCGGATGGGGCACACAACTAATTGCTGGCACTATAAGAAAAAGCGTGCACGCGGTGAAATGCCTCCGTCCTAGCCAAGAGGCCTGAGCGCCTTCAGCCAAGATTCTCCGAGCAGTCAAAGGCGCAGTGTCTGCGTAATTTCAACACTTGCACACGCTCTGTCTTCTCACTTATGCACTCACACCCGCAGATCGCAGTCATAAGTAAATATCGGGTCCTTCGAGGCTGTTAAATTATAATTACGGCCGGAATGTGGTAGTTGCTATCAGCGACTATGACAATGAAAACATTAGCAAGAAGGCGTGTGCCACCTTCTCAGCGACTAAGCCAGGGCCTCTTCAGAAGTCCCACGTAGTCCCCACATGTCCCAGGATTGTGGGCCAGTCCTCAGCCGCCTTTCCTCCATTCTCTTCCTCTATTTGGCACAGCCTTCCCTTTGACCCAGATGTGTGCAAGGCGGTGTCGTCCTTTAGGGCCCAACGAGGCTCAGCGGTCTTGAACCGGATTAAGTAAGAAAATAATTTGCTGTTCGTGCCTTTTCACCAACTCCATGCGTAGAGGGCAGCAAAAAATTACGCATTTGTGACTAAGGGGGACGAGGGTGCAAAAAATACTTGACACAAATGAGCCTGAGTGTGGCGGGGTGGCTCTTCCACAATAAAATGGAAATGGAACTCTAATGTATTAGAGCGTGTATTAAACAGAATAAATGTCACCCGACCAGCATCCGCAGCCACATCCTCTGGCACATCAACACATCCGCCTCGGTTGGGGCTTAGCCATGTACTTAGGGCTGTGGATAAGACAATTACGCTGGCTCCGTAGTTGCTCCTTGGGCTCGTTTGTGTTCCATTTGCGCCCTGGTTCCCCCACTACTTCTTCATCGGGTTGTGCTGACGTGTTGGTATTCAAAACAGCATTCGAAGCAATAAAACGCACTCTAGGGTTTATCTGGGAGCTTCGGCTCGTATATCAGACTTATGACTTCTGCCGAATACTTTGTGATGTACTGCCAAGCTCATCCCCCATCTCCTGTCACCAAGCCCATACCCTGGCAGGAATCAAGCCCAGCCCTAGCCCCAGCCCCAGTTCCAGTTCCTTGAGGCAGATAGGTATTAAGTACCCTCATTTCGCCCATGACACGCAGAGAAAAGTAAAGCTTTTAACGGGAAAAATAAAATGAATGAAGGCAAGAAACCCCAAGAACCAACAACCAATTTGTAGAGACTAGCCGACAGATTTTTCGGGCTGTCAAGAACATTTTTCATGCAAATTGAAAGCTTCCGCATCCTTAAAGGGCCATCAATGGCCCCGCTAACGGGTTGTCCATTTCCATTAGTGGGAGCAGCAATAGAAAATGAAGAAAAATAAGCGCCAAGAATGCGGAGCCAATACCGAGATGGGATGTGCGTCTTTCGCTGGCGGTGTTAATTATGTTGGCATGATAATTACATTACAATAGGCTTGATTAGTTTTTAATTGAATTGTGCACTTATTCGGAGGCCATCTTGAATCTGCAACTGGAGTCGAGTTTTAAAGGGGTTTCGCCATCAACTTTGAGGGCCAAGTTATGTCCACAACAGGCACAATCGCATTCGCAACTTGGTGGGTGTGAGTGGGCAGCACGCACAAAGCGAGACGGAAGAAGGGGAGGTTCGTAGAGTTCATAAAGTTCATAAAGCAAATTACAAAAGTCCCATAAAAGCGGGCCCTTCCTGGCTTCTGCTCCTCCCGCTGGGTGTATCGGCTATTTGACACCATTTCGCAAATCAATTTTTATTGTAAAATGCGTTGACTAATTTATGAAAACAATAAATGCGTCTGCAAACCAAGTCAAAGTCACCCCAAAAAGTTCATTCACAAAGCTATTCAGCAAATTGATGACTATAAATTCAATTTAATGTGCGATGCCTTCTGCACCCGCCAAGAGAGAGACGGAGCGAAGAGAGAAAGAGCCAAGAGTGGTCATCCGTCATCCCCTGATGACACTCCCCATCCGCCCCACGGGCCGGAAAGTGCTCAAGAGCAGGAGCGTGGAACCGCGATTCTGCGCCAACGGCGTGGCTGCGTCTCTGTCGCCCCACAAGAATCGCACTCGGAGCGAGCAGCGAAGCTGCCTGGCTGCTCTTATCAGCATCGCAGGCAGGACCGGAGCGGAACCATAGGCCGAGTCGGACTCAATCCGCTGGGACTGCGCAGGCGCACGACTCGAGGGGCCCTGAAATCCCGGCTCGGGCCAGCGCCGGCTGCGACGCGACTGCGGCAGCAGGCATGGCGTCAGGACATAAAAGGCTGGACCAGGACTGCCAGCACTCCTACTCCGGGCTCGCACTCCTGCGGCTGAAGTTCACTCCGCCAGTGCGCCAGTGCGCCAGTCCGCCAGTCCGCCTTCGAGTCGTCTTGTTGCACACAGTTCGTGGGCACTCGTGGTCGCGTTCGCACTGCACTTCGGGCACACGCTTGGAATCGATTGAGATGGCCATGGCAACGACGCCACTGGAAGGAGGGCCACCACCACGGCCACGGCGACTGCGGCCGAGTCGGGGTGTCGGAGATGTTGCAGCTCCTGGCTGAAACCGAGTCCAGTAGTGCCAGCGTCGGCTGAGGCAACGGTTGCACTTGCATTCACTCGGGCCGGAGACGGAGACGGAGACGGAGGACAGAAAGCTCCAAGACGGACAGATAGCAGTGGCCAAGAGCGCCCTGAAATCATGAATTTCATTGGTATGAAGCCTAACGCAAATCTAAGCCACAGTCTGCCTTCCAACACTGCCTTTCGATTTCCGGTGGCGGACTACTTGATTTCGTCTTCTTTCCTTTGAACCAAACACTGCCACCACTCCACCAAACTACTACTCAACTCGCCAAAACACACAAACGCTGTCACTCTTACCGAAACTGTGTCCCATGTAAGTCTTTGCAAGCGAACAGCGAATCGTTTATTTTTCACCTCCATCGCTCATACGTAACGTGACCTATCCGTAAGCATATGGTGACACTGTGGTGCAACTATGTAAAGTGGGACGGGAAAAATCAATCGATTGGGGGTTGCTCGCGGGGAGAGCTCCGTGACTGCAGGCACGGCTTATCGATTTTTAACACCAGCGGTGGGAGCAGCAGGACGGGAAGTTCAAGGTCCGAGCTCCGGCCAACTTAGAGGGTATCGCAGCTCTGGTGCTGCGGGTAGAGACTGTCGCCGGGACGACACTGGAAGGCCTCGCCGAACTCCCTCGAGCTGCGGAGCTTGGCGTGCGTCACCTGCCGCTTGCGGTCCTGCTGCAGGACGCCCAGCTCAGAACGGCAGTCCACTAGTAGGTTGGCCACGAAGAAGAGCCTCCGCAGGGACATCTTCGTTCGTCCGGCTGCCAGGAGTGTGTCAATCCTCTCCTGGAACTTTGTTCGGGTAGCCAGCCATTGCCGGTACCCACTCAGCGCCAGTCTCTGGGCCAACAGGCTGAGGAGCAGGTCGTTGGCGTTAGCTTGTCCGGCGGCGCACTCCTGGAAGGCGCCAAAGCGCTGCTCCGAGTCGAAGCTCCGCCAGGCACCGGGGGTGCTGGAGCTACTGCCCGCAGCCACCAGGCTCAGGGAAAAGAACTCGCCCACCAGAAGGTAGTTGAGGGGCGTGCTCAGGTTGCGCTGCCCCAAGAGGGCACTGACTGTGGCAAACGCCAGGTTGTAGTGGCGCACCAGCTGGGCGGATAGTGAGGGCTGCTGCCGTGGGCGCTGGAACTTGCGAAGTTTTTCCAGGTTCCGGTATAGGCTCCGCCGGCCCAGCAGGATGCCGTGGTAGCTGGCGTCCAAGAGCTCGTCGCCGTTTATTGTAAGGCGCGTGACGCTTCCGAGAAACTGCCTCGAGCTCTGCTGCGAGATCTCGTCGATCCACACACTGCCGGCTAGCTGATCCACGTAAGCTTTCCCCAGCACGGAGTACATCTGGGCCAATTCGTCGCGATTCGCAGTAACCCTCGGCGCCACGTGCGCGTAGACATCACCGACATAGGTCTCCGCCAGTTGGTGGCAGTCCGCATCCACGATATCTGAAAGAAAGGAAGCAAGGGGGCTTGAGAGTTTTTTGCGCACATCCACACAAATGAACGCGTTACCAAGGCTCGAATCCAGCTTAGTGCCGACCAACATTTCTCGGTTAGATACAGCCTGTTAATTTGATTTTCTCGATCATCAATGTAAAAGCTAACTTCCACAAAAAATAAACAGCTAATGCAATATTGCTAAATTCTGTGATGGACAGTATCTCGTTTATGTAAATTAATAGGTCGAGAAAACAGAGGTGCTGTTATGACCAGTTTACAAATCTGGTTCTTAACTACATCATCCATAAGGTCCGACCTTTAATTATACAACTAACGAAACGAGATTTTCTTTAAAATGTGACAGGCTAATAGCAATGTCCTTATCTTGGCTCATATTAATGTCCTTTAATGAAAGCTTCCAACCGCGAATACTTAAGATCAAGATGGACTCGACATTACTGATAACAAATTCTAAAATTAAACCATATTGACGATCTTGATTTAAAAATTCTAAACGCGAATTCCTAAGATTTAATTGGTACTGGCGAGTTTAACCATATTAACATCATTAAGTGGTTAAAGATGGTAATTTTTTTAACCTCTTAAAAGCATGACGAATTCGCTGTTAGATATTTTTTGTAATTTGATATCCTAACAAAACCTATGCGACATTGATTTATTATTCACAATCTTACTCGCCCATTTAAACCTTACAATAAATTATTCGCGGCAAAAAAGTCACAGACGACTTTCTTAAATCTGTTATTAAACAAACGTGTTGTACGGTTGAGATTGTTTAAAATAATTTTTCTTTGGGAACAAAGTTTTTGATAGCAGAATAGAAGACTCAGTCGTTTAACTCACCCATTAAATAGTCCGTCCAGATCCAGTTGAGTAAACGGACCATACTGGTGTTCTGCAGTAGCAGGAAATACTCGATCAGTCTGGGAAGTTGCTTGACAACGATGGTGTCTCTCTCGTGGAGCGTTTTGCCACCCAGCACCTTCCGAAAGTATCCATCCCAGTCCAATCTGCTCAGAGAGGCGTTTCCAAATGCACTGCGCTTGAAGTTGCCGTAGCTGAATTCCACCTGGTCGTCTACGTGCTCCGCCTTGACAATGTCCCGACGACTGCGCTCGAGACTCAGCACCTCGAGGGCGGCCACGTGGGCGCGGCTCTGCTCGATTCCGAAGCTCTGCAGGACCTCGCCCACCCGCTGCTCGAACTTTCTCAGAGTGTTTCGACGCGTGAAGTCGGGCCTAAGCACCACCAGACGCCTGTTCGACTGCATGGTGACCGCCGACTCGAAGAAGTATGGCGCCCCCGCGTCGTGAAAGTGCCCGAGAACCGTAAGCCAACTCTGGGTTTGGTTCGTCCGCTGACTGGCATTGGGCTTCATTGCCTCCAGTACAGGCCAACCCCCGCTCAGCCTGAACAGCTGAGAGGCCTTGAGCGCCTCTATGCCCCTTCCGCTCTCGCAGGACTTAAAGAAGTTGACCAGCTGGAGCTCCATGTCCATCAGCTGAGCGACGTCGGCCTCCTTGAGCAAGCTCTGGAATCGCTGCCTTCCCGTCTGGCTAAGGTTGGCACTGCGCGAGCAGACGTAGCCGTAGAAGTCCTGACATGGCTGCCTGTTGGGGTCCAAGTACTGCTCTATTTTGTATGAGAAGGTGAGCAGGTCGTTCTCCACCCTGCCAGGCTGTCCTGACAGTAAGCTTGGCCAGACATCCACAGGATGGTCAGTAATCTTAAAAGCATTTCCGCCAAGTGCTGCTTCTAAGACGACTCGAATAGAAATGTGCCCGCCACCGTTCACCGCTTTTACCGCAGGTACCAGGCCTTGTTTTTCTCCTTGGCGGTCGGAATGTCAAAGGTCGCTGCTAATGCGACGGCACACTTCCGCGCTTCTGCTTTCAGACTGCTGCTCGGACACACTGAGCCGCCAGGGCGCCCAAAGCTATGTCTAAGTTCCAACTAATCGCGTTCGCATTCGTTCCCCCTGGGTCTGACACTGGAATGAAAACTGAAATCACTTGAAGTGATAACCCACTAGGCGATAACGAGACAAACTGTAAGGGGTGCTCTAATCATATGTGTCAAAATGTCGGGTTTCGGTTCCGATCTAAAATTGGTCACGGCCGATTTTGAATTAAATTAGTTTTTAAAATTAATGCTGTATTTCTGAAAAATATTTCATTCTGACCAATGGCCAAAGTCGACTTAGATACTCACAATATATACAGCTTAAAATCTCTGGGTAACCTTTATTCCCGTCCGTTATACAGGCGCTGTAGGAGGTGATGGAGGCGATGATGGCGACGACAAGGAAAAGGCAGAGGAGGAGGAGAGGGAGCGTCAGGAGGCCATTAAGGAGGCCGAGGACCGGCGCAAGGAAAAGCACCGGAAAATGGAGGAGGAACGCGAAAAGATGAGGCAAGACATTCGCGATAAGGTGAGTGGGTGGGGTCTTTGTGAACTTTGCAAATAAAGTGAATGTACCTACATACATGTTGTGCCCTGACATAATAGAACTATTTCCTGGCGCAGTTCAAATTGACTCTAGTAGGGAGTCCTTTTAATGAGCGACTCCCTAACGGAGTCAGATTGAACTTCAAGGGAGCGAGACAACAACAAGCAACTGCTAAAAGTGTTAGCTGATAAGAAAGTAGACGGTGGCCAATTTTCAGAGTCCTAAACAACCTCTTTATCTACCGACTTCATATTAATAATTTAGTATAACATCAAGAAGAAGGAAGAAATCGTGGAGGCGGCACCCCAAGAAGAACCCAATCCCCTGATGAGAAAAAAGAAGACGCCCGAAGAACTTGCCGCCGAAGCGGAGCAGGAAGAGCTCGACGACTTTACAAGTAAGTTTTGGCTGTCGCTGTCGATTCCTGTTCCCTCTTTGCTCAGCTACTGGCATCTATGTACTGCTAAAACCTTCCACCGAGACGGGCCTTCGATTACGCCCCGATTGCCCCTTTTATGAACTGTTTCAGATTTTAGGTTGTCTTTTTTTCTTTTCCTACTGCTATGCCAACGGCTCACGCGAGACTCGCCAAGTCCAGACATTACCTAAACATGTTGACTAACAATTAAAACCCGAACCAAAACCGAATAAATAATCAGCTTAAAACTCAACGGCGCTCGAATGTAGTAGCTGTGTTTATGTTTGTGCATCTGTGTGTATTCAAGTGCAATCGAACTATCCAATATAACTTTCTGAACAGCTGCCTACTAACCAAAGCTATCTATCTATCTATTTATATGTACTCTTTTCCATGTGTGAATAATATTTAAGCTCTAAACCTAACTCTAATGCTAACTCTAACTGCAACCCTATCTGTCTAAAATCTAATGTTCAAATGTAATGCAACGACGAGTATAAACATTGTCAAATACATCTTTATATAACAAGCGTGCACACCATTCAATTAATTCATTTTGTTCAGTTTTCAGACTTCGAATTAGTTTTACTGCGTAAATAAGTATGTACCAGAGAAATCTAGAGATCATTTGAAAACATGAAAGTGTGTACTTCATTTTTTCTTTTATTCTATTTTAATGTATGCCAGTTTTATATAAATTATGGGTAAACGCTGAAATTAATGAATTGGTAATAGCAGACGAATTAGGTTTTATGTTATTTATGTTATTTACGTAATTCGAATAAGGTAAGTGCGACCATTCGTTAAAACTTTAATTTCCTTTTGTGTGGTAATATTGTTGTAATACATTTGTATTCAAGAACTACTCTTCAGCCTTCCACACCACTAACAATAACCATTTTCGACTACTCTCGCTATTCTAATAACCACTCCGATTCTCTGTATATTAATATGCAAAATAATTAGCATAAACAGACGAACCATAATCACTCAATTCTCGACCGCCTCCCTCTACAAGATCGATATGCCATTAACATAAATTTTTTAATTAATCTGAGAATTGAAATAGGTTTGAGCAGATAGCTTCCGGGGCTGTAAAATACCATATTAAATTATTTTATATTATTTTTAAAACATCAATTTCACCCAATGCACTCTTTTCATAGTTATAGCGCCTATTATTTCACATCCTAATATAAAAACACTATAACAAAATACATGTGCTTGTGTGCTAAACTGCATTTTGAAACTAAACACGCACAAAAAAATATAACTCTAAGCCAAAGAAAAATATAAACAATAAATGGACGAGCAACAAAAACAAAACTTTTTCCCTCTCTTTTACTCTTTCCCTTCAATATGTGTGCTATATGTATTTAACATAATGCAAAGTCGTATGCAAAATATATATATTGCTCATATACTGCATATGTATGTGTATTTTCCTCGCACCAAAATTAAAATCTTTATTATTATTTCACTATCAATCTATCAAACAGCTACATAGAGCTACAAACAATCGATAGTACTTTGAAATTTTCGATAATTTTCTTTTATTAATTTTAGGTCGATTTTTACCGACTTTATTATTCCTAAGTATCAAAATTTTAAGCAATATGTAGTACAGTTAAATTTACTATAGTAATTTGAAAATTTAATTCAATATACGTTGTATAATTTCAACATTTTGTATACGGTTTTTTTGGGGAACTAATAAATCAAGTAAATAATGAAAAATCGATAGTATCAAGAAAATTCAGAATCGACATCAGTAACTATCGACGTTTTCAGCTCTACATCTTATCAAATATAACTTCAAACATACATAAGACAGACTTTTACTAAGACGTTACAAGTACTACTTACAATAAAACCCTGACTAATATGCGAGTAACTGCTCTTTTGTTTTATTTTTACGATTCTCATACGAATTGTGACCTTCCGCAACAATAGACTTTCAAGTAAAAATACTGCTAAAATACCTTAGATAACAGTTACATCTACAGTATACCAGTTACAGTACATGAGCATCCATGAATACATATACATAACAGTTAACATGTCAAACATTTGTAGTCTATTCTACAAAATATGCTTATTTATTGCTGTTTCCATACTCAATTTCTTTTACAGAACTGAAAAATCAAATAGAAACGCAAGTAAATGAGCTAAAAACCCAAATAGAGGGAAAATGTGTCATGCAGTGATATGTCAGTCATCATATTTTCCAACAAATAAATAAAATGAAAAAATATAAATAATACTGAAAACATTCAACCCATAAAAGGAAATTTATTTAACTCGACATGAAATTGGATTTGTTAATATGAGATCAGTTAAGATTGGAAAACATAAACAAAACTAATTAAAAGCATTACAAAGCTAGAGCCTAAAATACCTGTAACCCGGCAGCAACGTAAAGCGTATTAAACATTAAACCCCCAAAATCGATTACAGCTATAATCCGATACGAAGCAGATATATGAAATAAAAATGCGAACAGGACGGTGAACTCCTTATGAATTCTAAAGTAGCTAAAGCATTAACCAAATTATTTAAAGCCCAACTATAGTGAAAGCCTTTAATAATATTCAAATCACTTTTGCTTCAATAATAATGTAATATACTCAAACCCAATTTACAAAACATAATCGTTGTTTAGTTGATAACATACAATAATATAACGATCTAATAAATATATCAAATCCGCACGATGACATTCGAACCCAAAAAAAAAATAATAAAAACACAAAAATAATATAAAACAAAATAAAAATGAAAGAAAAATATTAAGCAAATGGTGTGACAGAGGAGGCTGCCGAATCATGTAGAACCGTCGAAGTTGTTGCTGAAATCACTTTGGACTTGAAATCCATCATAAGTATAGAAAGAATATAAACTAAATCGGCGAATATGTTAAAATTGTCATTCAAATATATATATACACTCGTTATGTATATGTAAATATTATGAATTTAACCACGAGTATTTGAAAATACTTACTTGCAAACGAATTGACTGCGGATACGTTTAAATTATTGATGATTCTCTAAATTGTTTATTGAAAGCCAGAAAAAAACCATAAAAATAAAGAAAATGTTTCAGTCAATTTGTTTTTCAAAGTTCGAGACAAACCATCTTTAACAGCTGTTATATCATTTTCTTTCTTATACAAACAACATACCTACACTACAATTGAGATTTTCAAAACTGTTTGAAATAGCTAATGATCTCTCTGATTGATGCTTCTGAAATGTAAGTAAATAAGATTACTATATTACTATACATAAACCTTACCCTCACTAATAAATTATTAACAATACCAGATCTAAGTTTCATTTACATTTATTTGTACCCATACCAGATAAGTTTTGGTTCAATTACAATTCCGTAGACAATGTTGTACAACAATATATAGAACGAAATTATATAAATCGGTAGTCATTTAGACAGGGACAATAGCTTATAAGAGATGCTAGGCAGTTCGAGAGCATAATGCTGTGATACATTTAGCATACATTTTTCCCCGAAAACTCATTAGCATCCAGGGACTGGACACCCCGGAAAAGAGAAAACGAAACTTGCATGCACAAAAGTCGGCCACAAGAAACACAGACACCGAAGCATACATATGTATATAAGTCCTTTCACCGAATACCCTTTACAACGCCGAGTCCAGAATAACGACAGATACGCCGACTATCCAAAGCATCCGCTTGTAAGGGGTAGGAACACACCGATGACATGTTAACTTATACTATACATACTCTAACATCTTCGCACAGAAAGTCTTTTCAGTGCCATTAAATTTGTGTATACAATATAAGCGTCTCAAACGGTATTTCACCGAGATTTTCTAAGGTACAAATCGCATTACCGTATGCATGATTGTACGTACAACAGAACGAGCCGTCTCCGTCCTAAATCGAGGCACTTTCCAATTTCTACTGCACCGTTAACTGCTTTTAGGTTTCCGTAAAATTTTCTAAAACTACGGACAATCAAAAATGGACTTCAGTTTGCATGCGATTTGTGACCTGAACGGCTCGTGTATGTGTTATCAGTCTAGACATACATCCTTATTTCATATTACCCACACCCACATGTATGAAATGCGCGATTTTTGGTACAATGCCCTCCCTGACTGTGAAATCAAAAATAACACACTGTTCAAAGAGTTTGGATGAAGAGAGCATATGTATAAGCATATTGTACTGAATCGATGCAGTCTTGCAGTCGGAAAGGACATTTGTACTCCGGGTAACCGGATATAGCTTCTCAGTTGTATTTTGTTTTCTTTTCTTGTCATATTAAACTGAATTAAACTAAATATACTAATTATAATAAATGTTCTAATCACACTGCATTCTATATATATATAAATATCTCTCTCTCTTTCTCTGTTGTCTCTCTCTCTTTCTCTCTTTTTGTTTTTAAAACACTCTCTTTCAAATCCTTTATCTGCGCCACTTCTACTCTGCCTCAAATTCTATATCTGAAAACAACTTGAACAACATTTGCAACAACACGAAACAACAACAATATCAACTATTATAACAACATCAACAACAATTCTACCAATTCTTCACAACTACGATTTGATGGTCCTTCTTAGACATGTACTCTCAACAACAGCACAAGAAAACGCCTACAGCCAGTACAAGAACAACATCAACAACAACATCAACTACAGAAGTATCTAAATATGTACTATAAGAGAAAACTATACTATTCAAGCAAACAATAGAGGTAAACAACTAGCCACATGAACAACAGCATCAACTAAACTAGATCATCGCAATTTGCAAGCGACAATTTCCTCCTATCTTATTTTTAAACGTTGTGAATTAATTTGGATGTGGCTTACCATTTATTCCAATCCATATACACACTCGTGTACTCTCACATAACATGGTCATGGTGACATGCGTATGCATTTAATTGACTATATAGAGTTATAAATGATTGAAATTATGTACAGATCCAATAAACAGCAACGAAATATGTGTAAAACTTGCATTAAGAGCTGCGTAAAGAAAAAAGATAAATATTCCACATTCTTCATCAACGTTAGCAAGCTGATATCTGTATCTTTAAAACTTAACACTTAAAGCTTCGTCCCATTGATCTGCTAAAAAATGTCAGATATCTTATTGGTAGGACAGCAATAAAGTAAAAAGTTCTAACGCCCCTCTCTGTCAACCTAATAAAGCAATCCTCTTGTGCCCCCTCGCTCCATACAAAGTTAGGAACGATGAAACTGATGAATGAATGCCTTAACGTGGCTCAGATGACTAGACCATGAGTAGCGAATAGATGATGATAAGAAAAGGTGATTCTACCCTAAGGAAAAGTATTTGAAATCCCTAGCTTTGGTTTCCCAATCGCACACCTGTTACTAAATCGGAATCCAAATATCTTAGCTATGATCTCTTCAAGCTCGAAACTATAAAATCTATAAAGTAATGGCTTTCTAAATATTTATAGAAAATGTTTACCTAGATTCTACTATATCTATTGCGTTTTTCTCTCAGATACTCACATATATGAAGTTGAAGGTAACTTTAATTGTTTAATATATTGAATACATATAAATAAAGAAAACGAACACAACAAATGAAACATATTATTCAATCGTAACCAAGTTTTTAAAGTAATCATAAATGTTCGAAATGTTAAATGGTTCAGCCGATTTTATTTTCATTTATAATTTGTTAATATTGTGTTACCGTTAATATTATAGTAACGAAAATGTAATTATATGTATATCAGAAAGTTCACGAAACCACATATAATGAAAAATTTATATACATACATATATATATATATATACATACATACATATATATATGTGTAACTTAATAGGGAAATGAATTTAATAGAGAAACAACAGACAAAAATTATAAATAAAAATGTTAAAAAGAATACCATTCAAGTCATTATTAGATGTGAAAGACGTTCTATACACTACAAATGAATTAACAAAACAGAAATAAAAACAAAACTTAAGAAAATCGTTAATAGTTGATTAATTATATTGTTACTTTGAACATTTAATTGAAACAAAGAAAAACAAAAGGTATAATAAAAAAATATATATGTATAAATATATATGAGAAAACACTACAATACATTTGGTTTTAATTTCGAGTCGGAAGTCCAAGCGTTACTGTTACCTACCTTACACTCCATGCGACCAAATACATTGTCCTGATCACACTCGAACTTTCTACCTGCCTGATATATGATACGTATAGCTAACTTGATTTGGCATGACTGTTGGTCTATATGTTTTTCCGTCTTTGTGTACGTGTCTCTCTTCTTTTCGCTGTCTTTCTCTATCTCTCTCTCTCTCTCTCTGTATCTGTCATAACCGATCTGTCTATCTATGTCTAACTCTGCTCCTCAAAGTGTCTGTCTTGCAGTTCAAAACAGTCACACCAGAATTTATGTACATCCATGAGTTCAATTTCAGAACTTTGTACAAATGTACATCGAAAGGCCAACATCCTGCTGCCTTTTTTTGATCTACTGTACAGCCTTTAATACTGCTGAAAACTCTGTAAAAATGTGTATGGGAATGTGCCATGTTATCAGTCCTATAAATACTCCTCGAAAAACGTATATGAGTTGTCTACGTTATCTGAACCAATTTGGGTTAGGCATCAAAAGAGTAAGTATTTACTTTATATATACAAAAAAGATTAGATTTTCTTGGGCTATGTAATTTTTGTTGTGTAACAGCCGCCTTCAACAACATCCTGAAAAGGTAGGTAATAGCATAGCCAATCAATTTTGTGTCCGTGCCACACCACACAACACATGACATACACCCACGTCCTTTTAAAATTCCGCAGCCACTGACGACAAAATTGATGACGTCTCCAAGTAGAAATAAACTCCATTAGGAAAAATATTTATTTCTCCTCTCTTTCCGAAAGTAAAAACAAAATAAAACTCAGAACAAACTATTCTCTTTCATGTTTATAATTTTTCTCCTGTTCGGTTTTTTATGCAGTTAAACATGTCTATTTCGTAGGGAGTTTTTTTCAGTTATTCAAGACTTACACTCTTTCTGTGTGCAAATTAACTGATTTTGTCTTGTTTATATTTTCAGCCAAGTTGAAAAAACGTCTTAGCGATGCTTTTAAAAATTGCCCATTGAGAAACTTGTTCTAAACAAAGGTCTTAAGGTTGAGAGTCACGCCACGATTCGGTTTCAGATTACACAAATACACGCGTACCGGCCCTCTTGGCCATATGTGTTTATGTGAAAAAAGAGCATGGTGCTCTTTTTAACCTTCCAACGTGCATTACCTGCCAGATCCTGATCCACCCAGGACTTTTCAAGGCGGATATAATATTTTGTGTTTAAACTAGGTTTACATTGAAGGATTCGATATCCGGACACACTTTACTCAATTGTAATGTAACAACCAAACTATATGACAATTTTACCTGTCCCCTCTTTGAGAAAGTTGTAGATCGGGTTTCTCAAGCGTGAGAAATCACATTTTAGTACTAACACGTTTGGGAATGTTGGATACTTGAGTAATATTAAAACTTTATTAGTTAAGCGCTAAGCAACGCACATTGATACAATGAAGCAGTTAGTTCCTTTGTACTTGAAACAAGATGAGCTATATTAGAGTTGGCTTAACTTCTGTCATTCCGTAGGCAAAAATATAACAAAATTATAATAAATCTACATATACTGACTAGAAGAAATCGTAGAAACCAAATGTGAAATGAGAGATGAATCAACAACGACATTAGTTTAAAGTAATTAGAATAGCATACCCAGAGTCTTTCAACGGTGCCAAGAGCATTTTCTTATAGCATTCGTGGATGAATACGATTAATATATTTGGCTGAAATATTTTCGTTGATTGCCAAATAATTCATAAGATTCTTAAAGTACCTGAAATTCCATTGACCCTACTGGAAGTCTAGTATTAGGTAAAGGTCCTTACAGTTATAACACGCATTTCTGAATGCAGAGCTTCTTGTTTATTTTTAGATCTGCTCAACGATTAATGCGTGTTAATACAAATTTTTGGCATTTCCGTTGGAATACATTCTTACTATACAAAGGAAAAAATTGGTTCGGCTTGCCGAGGCGAAAATGTCCTTTCCAATTTGTTCTACTTGATATTCCGATTAGCTGCCATCTTTTAAAAGAACTTGAAAAAGATAAAAATCATTCAAACAATCATATCTAACTTAAACGATTTCGTGTCTTAATTTTAAATATCACATGATTTTACAATTTAAATTATATAAAAATAGGGGAAAGCAAAAATCGAAAAAAAACAATATAGTCTAAGTACATATAATTTACATACCAAATGACCGACTGAAATTATTGTTAAAAGTTTTATGAATTATACTTGCATATATACATATATTGATATGATCAAGTAAATTAATAAATAAAGAAATATATATACAAGAAATTCATAATAATATATTAAAGTTTCATACCCTTACTAATCATAAATTTGCGATTTAATATATACATACAAGAAAACGTATAATTCATTAAAGACGAAAGAAATCAATTTGTAAAGATGAATGCCTAAAGCCAAATGAGTTATCTACATTGAGAAACTGGTTTTACCTACAATTTAGTTATAGTTACCTTAAAATCGTCTTTGACCTTATAATTTAGAAAAAATAATCGAAAAATTGACTCAAGGCAATACGTTGCTTTAAACTCCATTTTAGGTAACTTTTCCTAAAATATAACGGCCGTGAAACTGTTTTAAAGCATTTGTTTCTGTTAACCAGATTTAATATTTTTTATGAGAGTAGAAAATCGATCAATAGTCTTAAAACGTCCACCAAGACGTACCACTTTTTTCATACCACGAAAACCATTTTCCAGCTTTTGTTTAAAGTCCCTGTTTCCGAAAAACTTTCTTTAATACAAATATTTGCTAAAGCGCATTGTGGGCCTCTAATTAAAAGGACATCAATAAATTTCCCAACAAAACCGTTTGCAGTTAAATAATAGTTACCAGCTTAACCAGTTATCAACGTGGATTTAAGCATACTGGCATTTCGAAAACGTTTTTAACTTAACAAATGCCGATTTTTTGGTTGATAAAAAATTAAACGTTTGCCAAAATTCTTGTCCATTAAATAAACATTCTTGCCCTGTCAAGTGCGAGTAAGCAGTTACCGTAGCGGCTACCAGTATTGAACGAGTTAAATTGAATTATATTAAATTGCATTGTAATATGTTGTCTTGTATTTACTGTTGAATTGTACTTTAGTATAGAACGAGTTAATTTCCAATAAAAAGTTTTTAAATGCATTATGAAAAAGTTCCTGTATTGGCGCATTTTATTTTGATTACTCTTATGACAGTTGTTCCACCCCCACGCAGTCAAACTTAATAAAGCCATATGGCCCATACTCACCATCTTCACAACTCATTATTCTCACATTCTTCTTTGTAGGACGCATTTATTGGAATTTGGTAAGACTTTTCTTAACAATTCAAGCTACTGTCGTTGCGCGAGAAGCATTGTTTAGACATGACATTCCTAAATGTTTGGAATTCGTAGACTTCTCTGTGCCTGATGACTATGCGTCTTTTTCCCATCCTTTCTCCACTCTCAGATGGCTGTGCATCGTAGTCATCATTCCTAACAAAAAAGGGTGAATGGAAAAAAGGGGACTGAGATGAAACTTTCTTGACATGGCTGACGTTCGATAAATCAATACGGAGCGTTCCTTTAATTCCTGCAGACATACATATTTAGATTAATTAAAAAGTTAATCGCTATTTCGGTACAACTGATTCAGTATTCGAGCTAGTGAGATTTTAACGCATTCAATTCAGTATAAATATTCTGTGTAAAGCTAATATTACCTAAAACGTGCGAAACATTTATCACTAGTCGTAGGAATCAGCCCAATGAGCAACAGCGCATTTCTGGATCTTATAAATAATGCAAGAAAGGCTTTTAATTATACAAAGGCATCGGGTTGACCACACGATTCAACGTCGTAGCACTTTGCAGTCAGCCAAGTGTGAAGAACCGTGTTTATTAACACAAAACAAAAGTATCTGCGAAGGCAATACAGTTGCTGCCCACAGATTCCCATTTAATTTAATAGAAGTAGCCGGAAGTACAGCTCAGAGATAAGCCGGAGGTAAATCTTAATGAAATGCATTGTCAAATGAAATGGTAAAATTGACGACGTCCACTCTTTCTTGAAGTGGCCAATGGCATTAAATCAGCAATCTAATGGCCACTAAGCAAACGACAGGGCGACACGCACCCCTTGTACTTGAACTGCCAACTTGGGGGCTGGTTGGCCAAGTGCTATTCCGTTCGCATCCGGACCTTTCGGTCTGAACTTAAAAGCACTTGTAACAAATTGAAATCATTTATTTTACTTTTTGCATTTGCTGAAACCCACATTTATAGCCAGCCCCCTTTCCCATTTTCAAGTAAGCTCAAACCCTTTGAAAGATGGAGATGTGCAAGTAGCGAAGAGACTGTTGCCAAGATTGCACACCACGCCACAGCGCCACCTAGCGTCGATTCCTTTATTTACTAATAACTTTTTAATGGATGATCCGACCTAAACAATTTTTTGGCATTACAGATAGATACTAATAATCAATACAAAATTCCTTTTAGTCTTTTATAAAAATTTTAAAAATTTGGATGCTAGACAGGTTTTAGCGTTATGGGCGTTTATGGGAAACGGCTAGTTCGACTCAGTTAGAGATCCTGTTTAAAAATACCATTTATGAATACCAACACCATTGGTCAAGTCTTGTAATTTCAGCTAGAAATTGGTGTTGATGCACTGTTTTGTATTTAGATCGATTTCTTACGACTTTC